GCACACGGTAGTGAAGCTTCCCGGTGCATCAAGCACCAGAAATCCTCCACTGGAGACGGAATAACTGAACGTGTTCTAATAGCTGATTTCCCCCACCCCACCCCACCCCTGAGGCTGACCACGCAGGAAAGTTAGTTTTCAAACACAAAAGCCCTCACAAAAGGTCAGATGGTACATATGGCACAAACTTGACAAATCTTCACATGTCTCAGAACAGCAAGAAACCCATCAAGAAGGCACTGTTTACAATACTCGAATATCTGCTAAGTTTGCTGTGATTTGAGGATACCCTTGAAATAACAATAATTGAAACTTAACAAACGTACAGAATCCTTGTTATATGTTATTTACACAAGCAGTGAAGTAATAGGCTTTAAGAAACTATGAAACATTCAATCCAAAGTCTGTTTCATAAACACCGATCTAGCAAAAAAAAAAAAAAAAAAATTCCCAAAGGCACAGGAGGGCAGCAAACAACTAACAAAAAAAAAAAAAAAAAAAGGAAGAAACTGCCATCACTACATTTTATGGGACAACCTTTCAAATAATTTCTGAGATTTAACTGGAGTGGGGAAACAACCAGGCTCTACCCTCATTAGGTCATGTCAACTATTTAAAAGGAATCAACATGTGAAATGCAAGAAGCATCATCTACTGCTGAAACTGATACTTGCTACATTTCACATGGCATATTTACTTTTTCTTACATAGGTCATCTGTACCTAAATGACAAATTAAAGGCTTAGAGTGCATTTGAAAAAAAAAAAAAACCCAAACCAAAACAAAACAAATCAAAACAACAAAACCACATAGCAACAAATTCTGAAAATATTTCCTGTACACGGAAAAAAAACCAAACAAAATTTGTAAATCAAATGTGAAAACAAGTGCTCTTTTAAACTTTAAAAACTAGTAGGAGGCCGTAGCCCTCAAACATCTGCAAACTGCACAATCGATTTTTATAACGGTGCAGAGCTCAGTCTTAAGTACGTCACATTCAAGATCAGCTGCACACCAGGACAATGGTGATGCGCTAAGAAAAGGCTTCATACACGCCTGTGACCAGCTGTACTGTAAAAATGAGGCAATAAATTTCTTTTTTCTGTACACATGAAGGAACATCATAAAAAACCCACCCAAATAGGAATTAACTAGGTTTTTTATGTACTTTCTAGAATTTCAGAATCATACAGTCAAACAGAAGTCTGCAATTTTACTTTTCAAAAAGTTTCATCATATATCCTTTACCTTCCTGGATCATCACTAAAACTGCTTTTACAGCAGAATTAAAGTCTAAATAAGTTGAAAGGAAAATAAGCACAGGCATTTTGTTTCGCTCTGTTCAAGTCTTTTACTCATCTTGAGCCGAGCATGAATTTCAGATATGGATTATCTGTTTAGTTGGACACGGGCTGCCAGCGTGGTGTTTGACAGCTGGCTGGGTCAAATCCACACTTAAATACCATGAGGTCTGTGTAAAAGTACATGCAGACTGTGTTATTAACTGATCTTGAATAAAAGTGATTAAAAGAAAATCAACACGAAAGGGCGGAAGGACATTTCTATTTACAAGGGAGATAAAAGCTTGTAACTATCAGTTCAAGAGCTTCAGCATTGTAATTCAGCAGAGTACTATATTAGGGGATTGAAATTATTGCCCAAATTCTCACTCCTTTCCTCTTGTATTACTCCCATGTACAGAGTACGCTTAAAGGCTTGTAACAGATCTTAAGACAAGTGAAGCTTCGACATCTGAATGTGATAATGAATGGCCAAATTCCAGGCTGAGAACATTAAATTAATGCTACAATATTCTGCTGACTTTATGCCATTTTATACATGGAAGTATACACTGGAAGTCCAATCAAGTTTGGTCTTGCTCATATATACAAGATCACTCTGCTTAAGGTACGACATTCCACAAAATGATTCAAGACCAAACTTGGCTAATACGAAGCTGTAAGAAATAAGCTGAAGTTGACTGTTTAAGCAATAAACTTACATAGCTGAGGCCCAAAGGAGAAAGGTAAAAGAGAAGGGGAGGTCTGTGAAGATGTCAGCCACAGGAATATATGAGCTAGACTGATACACAATGAGTAAATAGTATTTTCATTAAATACTAGTTGAGACTGATGCAGAACAGAAAGGTAGATCACCTGGAGAGTAAGGGAGGCTGCCCAAGGCAGAGGGATAACAGGAACATGGCAAAAAGCCAAACGTGACCTTTCAGCTGTTCCACTGCCCTGGATGCATTTGATTTCTGAGAGGATCCTCTGGAAACAAACTTAGCTGCCCTTTGCGTTGTGCCGCACATCCTCCTGTTGTCTCATCTGGGTTACTGAGATCACCTTCACAATAAACACTACAGCCCCCTTTTGACTTGGTGCGCTTGACTGACATAAGGAATTCACCAGAGAAACACTGGCACTACATTTTTTTTTCCTGGAATTTTACAAGTTCTATACATGCATATATTTCTTCAAATAAAAAATGTTATAAACCCTGGTTTTAATAGAGACTTAAGCTTCACATTAATCTGTATGGCTACAGCATAACAAATAGGTGCATCCATGTGTTCTGTTAGGTAGTATATACTGCAGTAAGGAGGAATTCAACAAAGACTTAAGGTTTCACTCCCATTTGTTTTGGTATGTGTGTTGTTAGCCATCCCACAATTTCTGAAAACTTTCCCCTTGCAAACACACACTTTTTTGTTTGCAAGTGAACTCACGACGGTGCCTGCATTCTGTTCTACATCGTCTGTCTTTTGGGAGGTTCAACTCAAGCTACATACTAAGCACCTTTGCATCTTCACATTTTGTTTCAAAAGGAAGAAGTCCTGGCATCAGCAGTCTGTTTGCTTACTGTGACATGGCTATACACAAATGTAAATCCAAAGCTGTAGATTTATCAAGACTTACAAACATACAGTAAATCCTTGACATTTGCAATTTATGAGACAGAGTGGACCAAGACAGTACCTTCCCAGGTGCTGTACTGTTAAAAATGTGCTCTGTACAGTAGATGCAGGAATGTTTTTATGAAGAATCTGAAGTTTTAAAACTATAAAAATAAAACAGCTGGCTTACAAGCCACTATAGTAATTCAGGATAAAAACTGTCATACTTCCAAAACAAATCAAGGACATTACATTGTAGAATTCCCAAAGACTTCAGCTTTTTACTTGCTAGTCCTAACACTCATGATCTTTGTACAATAATGTGTTTGTTTGACCTTAAACAAAAGTTTACTTCCAAACATCCAACGCTATTTACAAAAACTGTTGGCTACTTCAAAAGTTCCTTTGTTACAAAAATTGTAAGTTTAAATGTAACAAAGTAGGCTTGTTTATCATTTTATCATAACAGGACTCACATCCTACCTACAGGGTCTGACCTCTGAATTTTTAACTTCATCTATTCTGTGGTGAAGGTTCATCAGTACAACGTATGACCGAATATAAAACACAAGGCTGATGTCGTATGTCTGTGAGACAGAGGCACACACCAGGAGCAAGAGTGTACTGGCACTTACACAGTTCTTACTTCAACTGGGTAGACGGGAGTATGATTCTGAACCATGGACGCTGAGGCAAAGTTCTGTAAGTTGTTGCTACAGGGCTCTTTTAGATAATATTGCATCAGTTAAAGTCCGACTTAAAATATGGTCCCCGGTAACAGTTCGATCATTCCAGTTCAGAAAGGCCCTTGTTCATGCTTCCTATTTGAACAGGAAATTAATGATAAGCTGTAGCAGAACCACGAGTAAAATGAAGACATAGTGCTTAAACTGCAAGAAATGGTAGTCCGCGGGTGGTGAATGAGAAGTGACTCTATTTCGTAGAGCCATGATGTCCCTGTAAGATACAAAATAATATCCTGTAAATGACAATCTACACAATTCGGCATTTTCTAGTATGTTAGGGCGCCCTACAGAAGACAGATTTTGAGGAAAATTATGTCAATGAGCGATCAACATTTGCGAAGAAGGGTAGTAGTATAAAGACATCAAGGCTCTAAAGCAGAAAGATACGTATCAGCCTCCAAGGGAAAAAAGCTAGAAAATTAGTATTCTCTATTTTAAAGCATTTTATTTAGTACTACCTCTTAATGTCTTCTTGTGTTTCCTTTATAGATTCAATGGCACTCTGTAGTTCACCAAGGTCTGCGCCTTTTTTCCTTACTCTTGTATTGTGCTTTAGAAGTTGCGCTAGAAAGACACAACAGCCAGATGTGATTCACAGATGTGACTGCTAAGTCAAAAAAGGAACAAAGAACTAATGACAAACTAAACCAATTACAAAAATGAGGAGAGTTCTCACTAAACTTCTATTGAAAATTAAAGCTTTCAGTCACCTATAGCACAGGACAGCAAGTAAGCACTTGAAATCTCTTAAAACACTCACCGTATTGTTTAATTTCTGCAAGCATTATCAACAACAAAAGTCTGCCTTCCAGCAACATACTGATTTACAAATTAAAACGATTCATCTTGTTTTAAGAAAGAAAAGTGTCTACAAACACTTCCCCCCTCCCCAGATACTAAAATATGTGCAGCACGTAGGCCTACCTATGCTACATACTGATGTTTCAAAGGACAGGAAAGTTTGCAATTAAAACCACGAGCCGTTCTGTTGCTTTTGTTTTTCCAAAATGTGCTTCGCATTGGACAGAACTGTCATCTAAAGCATGCATTCTTTCATAATACAAACCTCGAGATAAGAAGTGCATGTGTGACTACCAAACTCTCTTTCACTGTCAAATAAACTTCTTATTTCTGTGTGCAAATGTATCTTTTCCTACCTTCGCTCCCAGAGGAATCCTGGTTATCGGGCTCCGGGGATGAGAAACCACACTCCCCTTTCTTCTGACTGGTTGGCTTTCGCTTGATTTTTGGAACACTAACCTACAATTGATAAACTTATGAAGTATCTTCAGAGAACCAGAACTGTAGCAAAGCAGCACATTCTAACAATAACAGCTAAAAGCACAGTATCTAATAGAAGTCCAAGTTAAAATTTTTGATGTATAAGCAGTCTGAAGTTTGTGCATATTCCCACTTAAAGGAAAAGGCACATTAAACTGTTGAGATCAAGTTTGCATATTTCATATTGCTGTCCAATGAAGTTCTCTCTACTCCCTAAGATGCTACACAAAAGACTGTGGATGGAGTAAACTACATTTTTGTTGGATAACAATAGTATTTCCCATCTCTCCCAATGCTTTGATGACCTTTATATACATAATGCAACATATACAAGTCCCTGGATCTTGCTGCACCTGCTAACAGAACTGGAACATACCATTGGTGTCCGATGTCGAACTTTTGTTTGGATGGTGCCATCTTTTTCAAATTGGATCATATCATTCAAAGGGTCCCACGGTCTGGTACTAAACAAAGTGAATATAATTGATTAATATCACAGCAATTTAAATATTTTCCTGCTCAAACTATTCAGTATGAACAGATTAAAGTTCTCTTTTCCTATACAGAAGTCAGACATAGAATAAGTGATCTTATCTTCCACCTATAGCCTAGTCCTAACCTGAAGGGCCAAGAGAGCCAAAAAATACTTCATGTCCAGGTCAAACCCTCAGCCAGCTGTTAAGAGTACAAGATATTGTATTAACCAACAATATCACTATTAATGTATTTGGCTAGTGATATGTATTTGTCAAATATGGAGAGATTTTCTTCTTAATGTACAGTTATTATTTTAGAACCACAGGGAAATTAGAGGATTTTAAAATATTATTTTGAACTGCCCTTTTTTAATTTTTTCTTTTTTCCTTTAAAAGAAGCCTAGGAAGGAGAAGTTAAAAATCAGTCACCTCAAAACTGGTTTCATCCCAAAGTGGCTAATGATAGTCAAGACTGGTTTCAAGAGGCACTAATGAGCTACACAGTTTGCTTGTTCCAATTTTTTAAGAGTGCTTGTCCAAGTATAGGTTGATACAGAATTAAAAGAAAAAAAAAAAAAAATCCATCAAGCAAAAGACACATAGCTCACTGGAGAACAACAAGCAGCCACAGGCAAAGACCAGCATCCCTACTGATTAAAGCCTTTTCAGGATAGACACTGCAAGTCAGCTGCATGAAGATCATTCTGATGCACAGCTCTAGTGAGAGTAGTTTAAGCATGAATTCCCTTTCTTCTCCTCCTGTATGGCTTTTAAAACGTTTGCATTTTTATCTTAGCTTAACCCGACTTGAATTAAATACTTGTCATCTAAGGTAACTGGGTAAGAACTAGGCATTGCTCTCCCAAAGGTCTTTTGTATCTGTAATCCAGATGCCTAAATCCATAATCCAGATACGTTAACAACTGCCACAGCTGACTGAGCGCATCTTTCACAGTAAGCGTGAAAGGCTGCTCTCTACACGGACCAGGTCGTGAGCCGGCATTATATGCATAGAGAGACACACAAGTTTCTTCCAGGGACTGCTGACAGCGCAGACTGCTTTCTAGCACGCAGTAAAATTTCTGTGGCGCATCCTTGAACCACGAGGCCTCAAGGAGACAAGAAATAACACAAGTTAAACAAGACAGACTACCCCCTGCAGCTTTAAGACCTAACAGATTTGAAGTGCAAGTACTTTTCCTGATGGTTTTACACAGGGTTCAACAGTGTGGGCAGTCAATTCAGCTGGACTAATCGCAGCTCTTCCAAGAGGAAAAGGCATCAACAGCACTAGAAGGTTCAAACCAAGAGAGGGTATTTCACAGACCTTTTAGTGTAGTTGGGGAATTCCCTTTTGCAGGATGTTTTGGGTGGTGAAAGTCTGCACAGACTTAAGAAGAAACCAAGGAAATTCATGGAAAATAAATCTATTGAGAGTTGCTAAATACACAGAATCTCTGCTTGGTTCCAGGAAACCTCTGAATTCTAAATTTGCTCTTTGTACTCTTGTACTCTTCCCTATACATATACTTAGTCCACTGCCCCTATGTTGCCATTCTTATACAGAAAGGTGAAGGGTTCTCAGATTTAGCCATGGGAATATACTCCCAGCATCCACGACTTCAGAATTACTTAACTCAGAGTGTATCATCTTTGGATATTTTACTTTTACAATCCCTGCAACATAGAAGCATGCTGGGTATTGAAAAAGAATCAGCAGATTTTAAAAACCATCACTAGCAAAGGGCTCAGCTCCAAGCTGACTTTTGCAAGCTTTCCTGAGAACACAGAACACATCTCAGCAGTCAGGGGGACAGCTACATCTTCATCTTCCGATCCACATCATCACACAAAAAGATTCACATACACTCATGTGTGCGGGGCATATCTGACAGCTGAGGAGAGCCACCTGGTCCCAGCATTAACCATTGCTGTAAACCTGTTATTCTCAGTGTTATTCTAACATAACAAATTAAACGGCTCTGTTCAACTAAGCAGAAGTTTTTCTGATTTCCAGACACTAGACACTCTGATGGTTGGTATGCCCACATGTATCATATTTTCCAGTCTGGGAAAATCTGTGTAGCTGCTCTGGTCAGTCTGGAGAGTGTGGGGGAAAGAAGCACAATGCATCCCAAAGTACTACGCCCAAGAAATTCTAGAACATAGCACAGATTTGTAGAGGCACATAACACATACAGATAAAGTCCATTGCAATGGTTACATGACACAATCGCTGCCTTTTCGACACTAAAAGAGCCAACCACATTCAGCTAAAAAATTGTGCATTTTAATTAAAATACATAAATACAAATTATCAAGTAGCATTGCATATTTCACAAGTTTGAACTCAGCTATATATGAGAGTTCTTTTGCTCCTGAAACCACAGGAAGAGGCTCAGCAACATCACCAAGCATTTAACAAGCAGGTTTTTTGTTACAAGCACTTCAAGACTCACTCAGCGTATTTGTAGTGCCATTCTCCTGTGACTGAATCCTGATCAAACAGCTTGCACGTCCACTCTTCACCCTTGAGTTTCCTCTCTTTGGCGCTCTTTCTCTGAGCTTCTTCCAGAACGTATTTCTCTTGAGTAGCTTCTGTTTGGTCTTTGTTATTTATTGCTCTTGTCACTTGTTGCCAAAGTCTGACAAACGAGCAATATAGAGAGTTACAATTTGGTTGACAGAAATAATTGTAAACATTTCCTTAATTATGGGCTAAGTAAATGGACCAACGTCTAAACAGAGTATTACCATGTTGCAATACAAGTTTTATCTACATTTCCATCAAGATTTTCCATGATTGTAAGGTCTGTAAATAGTGATTTTGTATTTAATGGTGTTGCTTTCTTGTTTTACAGGCCAGTATCAGCCAACATGGGAAAAAAAGAAACCGTAATTTGTTCGTAATTTGGAAATGATGAGCTCTATTTTGTCAAAATAATTATACATGGTTCTAAAGTGAACTTACTTCTCTGACTCAAAGTCATCTTGCTCTTCAAACTTCACTGTGTATCTAGGTAATCTACGCTGTTTGATATCAGATGTTGGGTTCCAGAATATCTCTGAATCATCTGTCTTCTTGTCACTAATAGTAACTTCACTGTCCTGTAACGTATATAATTCAGTTACCTTAATTGTAATGATCTCAAAGAGTGCCAAAATAACACAAAAGGGAGGAATAAATGAATGTTTTTTTGTAATGAGAATTTATTTTCTTTTGGATGCATGCAGTTAAGAGTAATTAGATATGCTACTTTAAAATTCAATTTCTGTACTCTGTGCTAGTTCTAACTTGGAACGGAAATGCAAAGGAACCATTACCATGTCCAAAAACCAGCGGTGCCAGTGTCATCTCATCAGAACTGAAACAAGTTTAAACATTTCACACTGGTGCCATAACAATTCTTCTAACCCAATTACTGAAACATTTCACAAGCTGAAATGTGTTTTCTTCATGAACTATTCAAAGGTCCACAACTTTTCCACCTTTTAGCAGTTGCAAATAACACCATGTTGATTCTATACTTTCTTGAGAACTGTCTAACTATAAAGAGATATTTTCTATAAAAGTGGTACTTAATCAACTTTTTTTAAACTTGAGTCTTTTTTGTAACTAAGTGCTATTTTCACCTGTCTCAACTATCAGCCAGAATTTATAAAATACCATCACTCACTACTTACCCAGTGGCCCTCCAAAATAGCCAGAACTTCTTTGCCAAGCTTTATTTTCCCTGATATTTGGTTAACACTGTCGTTGTTACCCAAAAAAGGCTGCAAAACAAGAAAAATGCTTTCATGTTTATTTTAATAGCAAATTATTTTTGCATTTATGTTTAGTGTTAAGGAAAAAAATGAATTTATGAAATGTGATGTAAACAGCCTGATGGCTTTTAATATTATAACTTCTGTAAATAGCCCTGATGGCTTTTAGTATTATAACTTCTGCCTATTTAATCCTCAAAACAAGTCTAAAACTTGTTGTAAAGTCTTCTCTTGTGCTGTATTTTCTTAAAAGATTTGCTAAGCAAAAGCATTGTCTAAGAAAAGTGGAAAGAAAACAGAAAATAACGCAGAAAACAGTGACACAACAAAATCCTGGAGAACACAGTCATTTGCTACACTAATTTCACCACTTTGCCAAGGACCATTTGTTACTAGAGATTAACTCTTGCAGAAGCAACAACAAAAAAGATTGCCAGGGACTTTCTTTGGCCTTTTTGATAGTCTGCACATGTATCTTGTGGGCTGACAAGGCAAAATATCAATTAATACAGCCTCCTAACATTTATGTTTCCCCTCTAATTTCAACTGAATGCTGTTTCCCTCCACATGCACACTTCTTAACAACTATTTGTTCAGCGTTAAATTAGTTTCTGCCTCAAAGACGGAAAACTTATTTTTCAGAAGTACAAGCCATCTGTAAGTAGTTTAGAAAACTTCGTTTAGCTTTTGTGAGTGAGGAGGTGCTCCTACAGCACACACAGCTGCCAAAAACAGTCCATGTAAACTGTTGCTTAGCGCTGGGCATTAGGCTGATATAAATGTTAGCCAAAGGTTTTGCACCATCTTTATTCAAGGTGTCATGAGCAACTTAAATTTACTCAAGATGGAAGAGGGGAACCTGGGCCTTAGTTCTCCTTCAAGGACTCTCCAGGAGTTTAAAAAGACCACATTTTAGAGAATTTAAAATCATCCAGGTATATTAATGATACAAAAAATACATGAACCACTGATCAGATCACTAAACACTTCCCCTGTTCTTACACATTCCTAGACACACACTGTTGCCACTGTGGGAAATAAGACAGAATGTTGTTTTCTCCCCACTAGAGCTGTTGTTAAGATTCATACAACTAGCAATATGTTTGCATCTCTTATCACCAAAGATGAAAACAGCACTGTAAGTTTCAGTCAAAACCTCTGGACCCAGAAGAATACATTAAGAAAAAGAGATTCCTTTAAAAAAAAAAAAAAAAAAAAAAAAAATCACAATTTGCTAGATACATATAGCTGGATATGTTTCCAAAAAGATAAAAAGACAATTCCATATAAAATAATATCATTATCTAAGCAGTGACTTAATATTTTTTTCAATTATCATTATGCTCATTCTCCTTCTTGTGCACACCCACAGCATTTACTAACCTTGAGTTTGAATTCAATTGTTGCACTGTAGCCAGTTTTCTCACAGGTGATGTTGACTGTTCCCCCAAGCTCTAAGGTCATTGTACCATAAAGAATTCCTGCAAAAGAAAAAAAAACCAAACAGCTACAATGAACATTTATCACTGAACAAGACAAAAAACCTCAGTTCTTTGGGCACAATTCCTCAACATGTCTATGCCAGAGGAAAAACCATCTTTTCAGATGACCCTGGCTAATGATAAGCATGATCCTTCTGCCAAGTAAGATAACCCAAACAGAAAGCAAAAGATCTCAGTGGATTACAGATAAGCAGGAAAAAACGGTTTATTAAGACATATCTTTGGCAGCATATGCTGCTGGCATTAGCAAGGGTGGTATTTAGTCTTATTGGAGATAATTGGAGGTGGGAAGCTTTTGAGGTTAAGACAGGAAAATAATTCAACAACAAAGAGAGCAAAGAAAAACTTCACTTGAACAGAAGCAGTTTGTACAGTCAGACCACAGGTGAAGACAATCATGGACAACCAATATGAGACAACACTGATCACACCCCTGAAGACTTTTGGAAGTACAAAGTCAACAATGCTGAATATTCTTTCTTTCCTGTGATTACTGTCTCTCCCTCTGCAATCCAGCATTTGAAACACTGAATATGTTTTACATACAGCGGATGCATGTGCAAACATGTTTTTTTCACCATGCACATTCTCCTTCTCTGCATATTCTTCTACCTTTCTCCCCCTCTATCAGCTTTATTAGTCACACTAGCTTTCCTTCTTCCTATTTGATTCGAATGTATGTATGTTACGTGCTTTTTAATTGTTATTATTTTTGTCACCAAAGCCATAAAAAATACCCAACAGAATATTAAAAACATCAATGAACAATGGAAAGAGAAGAGCCTACCAAACTAATGTCAGATTATCTAATTCTGCTAACTGATTTTCATACATCTCAAATAAGAAAATACTATAGTTGCTGACTACAAGGCTTCTGAAAGAGAATTCTGGCAGAGAATATATGGGTAGATACACCTGAGTAAGTAACAGTTTAAAAATCAACAATTCTGCAATGTATTTTGTACTACTACTGAGCTACCAGAAGGCTTTACGAACTACTGAGTAGTTTCCCATTGTGAAACTGAAGACAAATGGTCATGTTTTACACTCAAATCACACAGTAAAGTGTAGATACTACATTGCCTTTTATGTTTACAAGAGCAAAATACCGGAAAAGCTCAAAACTCTTCTTTCAAAAAAAAAAAAAGCACCTCAAACAGTAAATTATTGCCATGTAATGACAGATAGCTATATATATGCTCTTTCTATTTACAAAAAAAAGCTTTTTCTGTGCCAAAAAACAGATCACTGCTTAAAGAACAGATGTATTTTTCTCCTGATACAATACGTGGAAGCCTAGAGCACCAACGTTGCCAATGTTCAGAACACTTCTCAGATGACAAGCTCGAATCCAACACAGAGTACTATTTAGAATAATAAACTTCTGTTCTCACAACTTTGCAATCTAGAGAATTAGTAAAACCCATTACCTTTACAGTGAGCATATGGCATTGTCATTACATAATCTTCTCCCCTATTTAGAAATGTTAGTCGTCCTTCTCCATCTAGTATGGCAGATAATGAATTCCCTGAAATTCAAAGACAGAAAATCACATTTCTCACCCTGCAAGACAACAGTCAATGCTTCCTAACTGAGCAATAAAATTAAAAACATCAGTATATTTAGCATTGCAATCTATCCTGTCTCGTGAAGCCACTATAATACGCAGTGTATCCAATTAAAAATTAAAATACTCTAAAAACAAACAAAAAAAATTCCAAAGACCAGTAGCAAAAACTTCGTAAAGAAAAGATAATACAATGATGAAAGCCCTGATTCTTCTACCAGCCTTCTTTCATCCACAAAACACAACTCGTTTGTACTGATTTTAGACTCCTCAATAAAGGCACAACCACAAAAAACATTATTTACCATAGAATTTTGATTTGGCCAGAATGCTACCACTAAGGCAAAAACCATCCTTGCGGTTGCTAACATAGAAGGCAGATATTGGAGGATGATGTGATACCTGTTGAAAAAAACCCATGTATTTGAAAAAGGAAAAAAGAACATGTAATATAGCATATACCTTGAGCTAATAATGCAAAATTCAAGCTGTACATAATAGAACACAGTTAATATATGTGAAACGTGTCTATAATCTTTAGAGATCGAGCAAGCACTTACTGAATTTCAAGAGTTAAGAAAATTAGCACCTGACTTACTGGAGGAAGAAGAAACAGAAATGCTGAAAAATACGTTTCTCTCTGTTTCTCTAGGAAGACAGACTTAAAAGGAGGCCTACAAGAAAGCTGGAGAGGGACTATTTACAAGGGTATGTAGTGATAAGACAAGGGGCCATGGCTTTAAACTGAAAGAGAGGAGATTTCGACTAGATATGTGGAAGAAATTTTTTACACTGAGGGTGCTGAGGCACTGGAACAGGTTGCCCAGAGAAGTTGTGGAAGCCCCATCCCTGGAAGTGTTCAAGGCCAGGTTGGATGAGGCTTTGAGCAACCTGGTCTAGTGGAACATGTTCCTGCCCATGACAGGAGGGTTGGAACTAGATGATCTTTGAGGTCCTTTCCAACCCAAACCATTCTATGATACTATGAAAAAGGCATTTGTAAAAAAACCTGCTCACGAGGAGAGCTTTTAGGATACTATTCATACATTTAAATACCTTTTCTGAAACTACCACATCATCTGGCTAGCACAAAAATGCAATGCATTTATTTTTCTTGAAAATATTTGTTCCGCTTATTGAGGCTACCTGTTCTGCAATGTAAAAAGTCTTGCTATTTGTCCTTGGATGAATCCACATGCAGCGGAAAGTCTCACCAAGTATAGGATTGTACGGCTTTTTTAGTCCCTAAACAGAAATAAAACAGAGAGTAACCACATAATGCAGGTAGAGAACTCAAAAAATACTTTATCTGTCTGTCACTGAAGGTAAGAGACACAAAGAAATAAATCATAATAGATATGCTGAAGTACATTGTACTTGATTTCATCATTTGAGCATTACGCTCAGTTACTCTGCTTTTCATTCTAAGGAAATGGGCATAGATTTAGTGTATCTGCTAAACTATTCCAGGCTACACTTAAAGACAAACAGAATGTAAGATTATTTTTTTTTTGGTAGGAGAATTGTTACAGATCATTTGTCTGAAGTTAGGCAGTAAGTACTTTCTTCTTTCAACATAGGTTCCCACCAAAACTACTATAAAGAGTATTTAGTGTAAAGCTAACTGAAGTAGTAGAAATATTAATCCTCCAGCTGCAGCATGCCATCACTGAAGAATGGTAAACATAGAACTGGTTCAACTTTATCACAAAACATTTAGTTCGACTCCTACTCTAAGAGAAAAAAGCCATTGAATATAGTTTATTTTAAGCATGGCTAGGGACCGAAAAGGTCCATGATGCATTTGTGTAAATAACAAAACCCTAACCTTGCTTCTGAAAAATGCATAGCAACAAAATTTAAAAAGAAAAACCTACTCCAGCACATTTCTAAGGTCTTAAACTAGACGCAATGACTAAAGCAAAGACATAAAATAGTATGCGAGAGGACACCTTTGGCTTTTTGTAGAATCCCGACAAATACCACTTCACTACTTTTTTCATGCGGTTGTAAGCATTCTCTTCAAGAGCAGCTCTAGGAAACGAGAACACAGAGATCAAATACCAGTTTGTAACTGTTTCAGTTACAACACACTATCATTGTGATACATCTTGAATCTAGGAGCTGACTAACTCAAAGGTTTTGTGATTTGCAGTACTGTAAAACTTTCGGCCTGATTGCATCAAATTCAAAAATTTTCAAATAATTGTCTGAAAATGGAAATCAAACAATAAACCAGAAATGGTATTTCCATAATTGAGTCTGTTCTTTGTAACACTAAGTCCTGTTCCACCCCTACTAAATTCTTCCATTTGTAAGATACTACCTTAGAGAACTGGCCTACTCATGTACCGAACTCAGAGTTGAATAATATTTCAATTTACAGTCTTTAATTTATTAGCTACATTTGAGCGGGCAACTAAAAATCTGAATGGAACTTAACACTGTATTAAAAAGGTTAACTCGTACTGTTTTACCATTTTAAATATGCTCCCTAGAGAGAAGAAAAACACCCCACAAAACCAAAAACAAACTAATTTTGAGAAGTCTTCTAACCAGTCTCCAAAAGCTAAACCAGAAATGTTTGCAACACAATTGCTATTAAATTACAAAGAGGGTCCACACTTCAAGATGTACCATGTGAGCTCTCAGGCTGTTAGCTTTCAGAAAGCAAGGACATCTGATGACGGATAAATTGTCAGACGAACATTTAAGCTCTATGCAGTCTACAATGTTGTTTAAGTAGACTGGATCAAACGTTTCAGTACACAGTTACCCCATTTTAATTTAAAAAATGAAAAGAACAAAAAACCAGAGATAAGATTGACTCACTCGGACAGAAAGTCTGCATGGTAGTAGTAATCAGACAGCTTGTCCAGGAAAGAACGAGGTTCCAAGATAAATGTAGGCAGTACAACCTTGGACAAGTCCATTCCTGGCCGGACTTGCTTCAGTAGTGTCCAGATCAGACTTTTGTTTTCTTCTGACACTACTTCGGTCTGAGCAGCCTCCCCTGCCTAGGATGAACAAAAAACTGCTTAAAGAAAGGAGGAAGAAATAATCCTCCAGAATATAGGTCAACATATTCTAAGGATGCAATGAGAGTGGAAAATGGATACTTAAAATGAACCACTCAGAGAAGCTGAAGCAACTATGGGAGAAAAATCAAGTTTCTCTAAATACACTTACGATAGATCTTTAATGAACTATGATAGATCTACTATTCAGCATTAAAAACTGCATTTGTTTTCCTCAGCCCAAGAACAGAAAAATTTCAGCTAGAATGCTGTTCAGAAATCCTCCCTTATTCCTTTCCTAGGCGTCAAGTGCGTCACCCTGGGTTCTCCTGTGCAAGACTTCTATAGCAAAGGGTAGTTCATTCTACCAACTTTCCCCCATCATTAAAGCTGCCACATTTATGCTTTTCACTGCCTTGATCAGTCAACAGTATCAGTGATTTTTCTTAAAGAAAACCACTACTTAGGGATAAGAAAGTAAAACAAGCAGCCACACTCCAATATGCTCCTTTCTGTCCAAGAAGACAGGAGATACTCTTCCTTACAGTTTCTGAAATCAAAAGTAAAGGTTGTAGGAAAAGCATCACTTTTCAGAACAGTTCTAAACCACATGCTCAAGAATTTGTCATCAACTTAACACTCCTCAACTTTTCCTAAACTATTGCTTCTTCTACTAAAAGCAATAAAGCAAGAAGAATTTATGTCCCATAGCTATGAAAAAAAAATCTCATAGTTAGCACCCAAGAAAGGGGAGATTACTGAAAAAGCTCATCTCAATTTCTAAGTTTTTTTGTATCTTTATAGCTAGTAAAACATACAAATCCCTGTCATATTTGCCTGTGTAGATAAGACAACCTCCAGAAGTGAAATGGAAGCTCTAGGGCATCATATTAAAATGCAAGGTGACATCAGAAACATAGCAAGCTTTGCACTGAATTCTGCAGATCCCACAGCTGCTTAACTCCTCTCTTGCAGTAGAAAAACAGAGGTGTCAGCTTGCATCAAAATCTTCAAGTTGAAGATTTTTACTTGAAGAAAAAAACAGGAGTAAATTAATAAAAAACCCCCAAACAGAAATAAAACAAAAGGATGGGTAGACATGGTCAACTTGTGCTGCAGGTGGCCCTTTCAAACTGAGCACCTTCTATCCAAGCAATATTCCAGATAATCTTATCTCTGTCAATATCTCAAGAGACAAGCACAAGAGTGGCAAAGCAGAGCAGAACACGGGTGAACAGAACTTCCCCTCCCAATTATTTCTGGAAAAATGAAAGCCAATCCTGTAAGACAGCTTTCAAGCATAGTCTAACCCCTAAAACACCAGTTTTCTATTTGAAGAAGCTGCCTGCTCATTTTTACCTCCCCAAGGTAAAACAGCACTTTTACCTCCCCAAGTTCTTCATGACTCTGTTCTAAATAAGTAGTTTCCTTGATATCAATTGGTTCTGGATCGATGTAAGAATCATCTTGTCGCTCTGATGTGTCGCTATCACTTTCTTCACTTTTCCCCAATCCATCATTATCAGATTCCTCGTGGTCATGGTCGTTTTCCTTATCAGATTTGTCAGAGTACATATCTTGGTCTTTAAAGTGTTGCCTTTCAATTTCACTGTCGTTTAATCTACAAAATATAAAGGCTAAATGAATCTTCAATGTCACAGAATAATTTCATGTTTCCAAACCAGGATCTTAATAAAACACTCAATAAAATTGCCAATATCAAGCCTGATCTGGCAGCAATGTCAAAATAGCCTCTCTGGAAACATACAGGATGTACTCTTCTCACTGAACTGTAAAACGCACAAGTTTTGAACAGTTCCATTGGAAAGTACCGACAACGGTCTTGTAGTCCAACTGCCTGACCACCTCAGGGCTAACCAAGAGATAAAACACGTTATGAAGGGCGTTGTCCAAATACCTCTTGAACACCGACAGGCTTAGGGCACTGACCACCTCCCCAGGAAGCCTGTTCCAGTGTTTGACCACCCTCTCAGTAAAGAAACGTTTCCTAATGTCAAGTCTGAATGTCCCCTGACGCAGCTTTGAACCACTGCCATACCTCCTATTCCTGGATCCCAGGGAGAAGAGCTCAGCACCTCCCCCTCCACTTCCCCTCCTCAGGGAGCTGTAGAGAATGATGAGGTTGCCCTTCAGCTTCCTTTTCTCCAAACTAGAGAGATCCAAAGTCCTTAGCCGCTCCTCACAGGACATTCCTTCCAGCCCTTTCACCAGCTTTGTTGCCCTCCTCTGGACCCACTCAAGGGCCTTCACATTCCTCTTAAATTGTGGGGTCCAGAACTACACAGTATTCCAGGTGGGGCTGTACCAATGCTGAACACAGTGGGATAATCACCTCTCTTGACCAGCTGGTTATGCTGTGTTTGATGCACCTCAGGACCTGTTTTGCCCTCCTGGCTGCCAGGGCACACCGCATATTGCACCTACTGTCAACCAGCATCCCCAGACTTCTTTCTGCAAGGCTACTCTCCAACTACTCTCCCAATTTATACCTGTGTCCAGTATTACTCTGTCCCAGGTGCAGAATCCGGCATTTGTTCTTGGTAAATTTCATGCCTTTGATGATTGCCCAATGCTCCAATCTATCTAGATCCCTCTGCAAGGCCTCCTGTCCCTCAAGAGAGTCAACAGCACCTCACAGCTTAGTATTATTAGCAAACCTGCTAATGGCGCATTCAACTCTTGTGTGTGGGTCATTGCTAAAAATACTGAACAGAACAGACCCACTCAGTTCTTCACCCAGCGCATCATGAACCGGCTCATCTCACAGTCGGACAACTTGTCCAGAAGGATGCTATAAGGGACAGTATCAAAAGCCTTCCACTGCATTCCCTTCATCCCCTAGGTGGGTTACCTTATCATAGAAAGATATCAAATTAGTTACACGGGACATTCCCTTTGTGAACACATGTTGACTGTGCCCAATGATTGCATTACTCTTTAAATGTCTTTCAACAGCACCTAGTGTGATGTTCTCCATTATTTTCCAGGTATTGAGGTTAGACTAAGAGGTCTGTAGTTTCCTGGGTCTTCTCTCACACCCTTGTAATAACGCTGGCTAGCTTCCAGTCACTGGGAACCTCCTCAAACTCCCAAGACATTTCATAGAGCATTGAGAGGGGTCCTGCCGTAACATCCACTAGCTCCTTCAGTACTCTGGGATGAATCCCACCAGGCCCCATGGACTTAGGAACATACAGCTGATACAACTGGTCTCTTACAATTTCAGCATCCACAAATGGAAAGCCACTGTTTCTGCACTTGTGGTCCTCCAACTTAGAGGACCAGGTAACTCAAGGTCTACTAGTATTATTAAAAACTGAGCCAAATAAAGCATTGAATGTCTCCACTTTTTCTTCATCCCTATTTTTCAGGTTGCCATTTTCAACAAGTATGTCTAGTGTTTTCCTTAGACCTCTTCTTGCTATTAACATACTCAAAAAGCTAGCTCCCAGTTGAAGCTAAAATTGCTTTCACCTTTCTTCTCTCTCTCCTGCCAACTCCATCAGAACTAGGCCTGCAGGTTTTGTTGCTTAGATAATTAAGTACACTGAATACTCTTACAATATGCTATATCCAAAGATCTATTTAATTAAACCATTAGTCTTAATTAGACTTAACAGTTGTAGCTAATTGCTATGATTGTAATCTGGGCCAACTGCTGATATTAAACTACTATTGCTGAGTACAGACCTCCAGCTGAATTGTACACAGCAGTTTTACTGTCTCCATGAGATAACAGAAGGAGCAAAACTGTAGCTGAGCCTGCTTGGTCATCTGGATAGGGCCTTGAATCTGAGCTGGGGCAATAATTTGCCTTTTCTGTGCTTTTCTCAGACTATCTATGCCAGAAAGAATGACATTTCTCCCAGTCAAGGTCTTCTGTCTCAAATAGAGGCACATACTCTTACCAGCAGTACAAAATTACTGCCCACCTGAAAAGACAGATAAGCAGCTAAATCTTCCTGGGTGGGAGGAATTATTTGAAATAAATTTTCGTCCACCTGAAAGTATACCAAATTGGTGGAAGATTACTGAGAGAAACTGTGCATGGCGTAAGCGTCAGACCCAATTATTTCAAATAAAGGACTAAATCTTTTATATTTTCTAATGTGCTTTGGTACCACCATTCAAGTGTTTGAAAACATCACTCTTTTGTCATACTTGTTTAACAACATATTTCCACAAAAGCTTATGCTCCCAAAAATCTGGCTGAAAGTATTTACTGAAATAAACAGGGAGATGTTCAATGGCACTCAGATATTAGATACCAGGTGATACCAGATAATTTCAAATTTTGTGTATTTAATATAATAATAGGGTGACTGAATCATTATTCGTCTGATGATTCAAAACTGAGATATACTGAAACCATTTATATACCGATAGGCTTACTCATTTCTTTAACCAAAGAGAATAGCAACTTAAATTCACATTTACCAACTTTTGTCACATGTACTAAACTTCTTATTTTCAAGTGAAGCTAGTAAGAGATATCAACTTCAAGGTATAAACATTAAAACTTTAACAGTTTAACTGAGTACTTAAGCTTACTGATGTGATACTCAACTTTGAGTTCCTTGGGCCAAACTTTCCTCTGTATCCACTTTGCTTGAAAAAAAGATTTTTTTGTTTTATCCACGTACAACATAAAAAACAGTGCAAATAAGGCATATAAAGAGATTTCAGGAGCAAAAAGAACTGCAACCTTAGACAGAGATTCTCCCTGTGGAGAAGTTATCACTACGAAGTCCTACCAGAAGGACAATCAGGTTTAGTAATTAATTCACTTACGGTAAGTTTTCTCCACTGTGCAAGTTGTTAGCACGAAGCAGACCATAGAGAGAGACATGAGTACTGTCTGCTGAAGAGTTCAAATCGTGTTCTTTACCTTCTCTAATCATTGTACGTTTAAGCAGACTTGAACATTTCAGGGCCAGCTCCAAAGCATCCATCCAACACCTGCCTAAAGACAAATCTATTATTAGACTAAAAATTAAGGATTTAACTAAACTATACAACTTCCATTACTTAATTTCATAATTCTTTTAGGTCTGCTTACATACATTGCCTTTGAAGACACACTTCAGAGTTTTTCCATGTTACACGTACTATAATCTGATAGAGACATAAAAACAACTCACAACTTCCCTGTTCTGGTACAAGGGATGCTTCAGGGTAGGACAAGCAAGGTAAATCATGATTCTGTTAGAGCACGTTCCAGCATTTCTTCCTTAATGTTAGTATGCTTCCAGCCAGGCCCTGACTATTGAATTCCTCCAAAGTTGCCTGTAGCCCTACTCCAGTTTTGAATACTAAGTAACTGCATCAGTTGGCAAAATTTGCTCATGTAATACAATAACAATGTGGAAAAGAAGCTATAACGATAGCATATAAATTCCATCTCAATATAAAACAGCAGATATTCTAATTTTTTTTTGGCAAAAAGTAACTAAACAAATCTGTGTGTTCTTTCTGCTCCTTATTTCTTTCCATGCATTTATTTCCATGCATTTAATCCATTTTTCAATACATAAGGCAAATAGAGTCCTATTTTCAAAGTTTGCAGAAGTATGCTTAATTAACCAGTAGAAGGAATGCAGCTGCAAGAAAGGTTACACAACAGTCTTAAATTTTGTTTCCACACTAACTTTTGTAGATGGTTGCACTCATATTGACCACTAACCTCCTAGTGATGAAGGGTGTTACAAAACTGTATTTTGAGGGAATTTTTAATACTGAAACTCTGTGCAACTGCTGCACTTTATAACACACAAATGCCTTCATTAGAAAGTATGTCCACATTAGCACTTTAGAAAGGCACTAGCTTGAATATTTAGACATACATTAATACAGTTAAATCCGAAATAACCTCTTCCTCCTCCTCTACCCAGCCAATGCAAAGCAACTGCAAGGAGTTCAATGACAGTTTCTTCAGGTCAAAATTTTTCATTAATAACCATGAAAAAGTACTACTACCAACACAATAGAATGCACTAAGTTAAGGCAGAACCTTAACAATGATTAAACTGCAATTACAGTGCTGTAAAAGACATGGTAAGACAACTGAAACCATATCTTTCTGACAACTAACTGCTGTCACTGTGGAAAAACACTGAAATATCTATTTACCATCTGATTCTGAAGCAGCTCGGATGATCAAATAACTGCTGGGCAATGGCTGAGTTATAGAACCAACTGCTTCACCTTTGGGACCCTTGAAATACACAAAACAAACAACAGCATCAGATATTTTAATACAGTTTTACAGTTCATCATTCAATGTAATAACAAGCTGACACACTGCAGGGCTATTTACTGTCACTCAGCAACATCTAATGAAAACATGAATGGAAAGATGAACAGCCCTCTTTTACTGGATTTCTTCTTCAAAGACTTCATTCTAAGTATAGCTCCCAATTCAACCCCACTTCAAAAAGAACGGTCTTTGGGATTCAAATAATTTTTGGTGGTTTGTTTTTTTTTTTTTTTGTAAATCAGACTTGGTACAGTAACTCGGAAATGCTCTGCTGATGCTACTTATAGGAAGATGACAAAAGCATCAAGAAGAATGACATGGAGAGTCACCCTCACTGTCTGGGGATCCTGCAGATGGATGTAGAGAGATCACAAAGGACAAACTATTCCTCTTCAGCTCAGTATTTCAGCTGAGGTAAGACTGAAAGCAAACAAAACAAAAGACATGTCTGTGGGGTGTTTTAAGAGCTGATTTACAACAAATGCTGCCTCATAGAGGACCCATACTTGTACAGCAACTGGCTCTTCCTCCTCCGGTCCCATTCGTTCTTGATGAGAGCACAGGTTCCTCTCAATTCCTACAAGGATGCTACGGTTCATAGCACAGAGAGACACGAGGCAAGCCAAACCCTTGCACAGAACAGGAGACCTTCTTCAGGGATTCTCTTCATGCTTACGGTACATGACAATACATGTGGTGTCTCAGCAGCATCCTATGCTCCAGAACTGCATAATTTTTCCTGTCTTCAGAAGACTGAGTCAATCGATATCTAAATAAAATGGAAATAACTTTTCCCACCCAAACGCTATGTATTGCTATAGCAACCCACTCATCCTTTCTCCCTATTTCCCTCCCCTTCAACCTCTCTACCTATCCAGCAGTCATTCCATAAAATATTTAGGTGCCTAACTGCAGGCTTGGCATTTAAATAAGAAAAAAACCCAAGATGATGCTCAGGTCCATAAAAGACTCTTAGATGCTTAAGTCTTTCTATAAAGGGTATCAGCAGGACACTATGACATAACGTTCAACTGAAAGACACGCAGCGGATGCCAAATGCCAAAATTTCAATTTCACTATGAAGCTCTTCACATTCCGAATTAAAAAAAAAAATAAAATCCAAAAGACCTTTCCATTTCTGTCAAGCTTCATTTTGAAATAAAATGCTAAACAATGATTTTAAAGTCCCTTCAAAAATAGTTTACCTATGGTAACTTTAAGACAACTGATAGGCAAAGAGGGCTGCATTAAACATACTTGAAGCTATTGTTGAAAGCTGGGTTAAGCCTGCCTAACTGATGAGTTAAGACATTTTGCTCTTGACTGATTTCCCCCAGAGAAGCCTAATGAAAAGCCATTACAAGGCTTAGAAGAGGGAATTGGAAAGCCAGCAGAAGTTTTGCGCAAAAGCAGATAAAGGCAAATATTTTAGAAGCAAGCAAATGAGACAGCCAGAACGTTTCTGAGGGCGAGAGGCAGGTAACAAGGAGTCTTGGTGGCACTTAAAATACCAATACAGGCAACCTAGTGCTTGTATAAATGATGTTGAGAAACTCCCAAATAGCCAGTGTGGAGTAACAGTGACTTAAGTCTTCGAAATGAGATTCCAAACCTCTGAGCGAGCGGAAAGGCGCGCCTATGAGAAGTCTTTGGTGAGGTGGCAACACGGGGATTAGGAGTTAGCAGGGACTAGGAGAACCAGGAGGGACAACCCCACACATGAGCACCCCTTGCCACAAGGGTGGCAGGAAGGGAAGAGGTCTTGCCCTCGCTGGTCCCTGGGGAGGGGAAAAGACCTTGGCGCCGTGCAGCACCAGGCAGGGGCGGGAGAGGTGCTGAGACATGGCACGGAGGGGACCGCGGCACTGCGGGTGCACCAGCACCGTGCAAAGGCCTCAGCCATCACAGGTCCTCAAAACTCTCAGGTCACAGGACACGGGCTAAGGGCAGACCTCTGCCCGTGAGATCTCCCCTTCAGGGTTATGCTGTGGGCATGCAGGGTGCACTACTCACTCTGTACCAAACAACTGTAACTTAGAGATGAAGTGTGGTTTTGGTGTTGGGCGTTTTTATTTTTTTTTAATGCAGGAAAGCTGTACTCCCCTAGGTATCAATATATTGATTAAAACTGAATGAATAATTTGCAGCGAACATTTAAGTAGGTTGCCTTATTTTGGAATAACTGCTTGTAGATCTCAGCTTTCTCTAATTGATTACTGTTCCAAAAGCACTGGATGTTTTTCTTTGATATCACCCATAATGGTTTCAAAATCAATTTTCAGTATGTTAGTGTTCTGTACAAGTGAGACATTAGTTCGCATTTGTCAAGTGACTCTTTGACTGTCTCTGCTCCTGACAGAGTAATGGTACAACTACTCAAATACAAGCTAATGGGCAAGTTAAAAATTCCACTAATTAAAAAAACCTGAAGTTCACTTCCTACAGAATATTCATGCCAATAAAACTCAAATGCCATGAACATTCAGAGAAAGTAATAAAAAGTGACAAGCAGTCACACTTGAGTAAATTGATGCATGAAAGATTATTTGCAGCAACTTTTCTAGCTATTAATTTTAGAAAACTGAAACAGCATCAGGACCAGGCACATGAGGAAGACAGAACAAGGTGCAGTGCATCAGCTACCTCAGAGTGTAGGAGGAACACCGGAGACCACAGCAACAGGCTTAGAGGAGTGTGAGGAGTGACTGGCCACAAACTACTGCAGAAGAGAATTTCCAGTCTGCCAGAAAGACACACTATGGGAAGTGTGTCCAAGTGAGAAAATCTCCTGCAGTACTTACACCTGCGTAAATGTTTCTTGCAATGTCATCTTCCTGCACTGACTGCAAAAAAGGCTCATTTTGCCTTAGACTTCAGGCTCGTTCTGGTAAATCTACTCTGTAAATCAGTCAATTGCTATTACACTTCAGAAAGTTTGCCTCGTGACAATGAATCTCTAACTAGGACATTATAACTGACTAGGTAAACAAGGCAGAAAAAGGTTTCAAACCTCAAGGCCTTTCATCTAATTAAATCCAGTAATTCTCAACTGCAAATAGCCATATCAAAATGAACAAACGCCACTCCAGCTCTCAGCACATTTAGAATGGACAATATCAACTTGCTCAGGTTCAAAATTTGACCTACCTTACAAAAGTAAAAATCTGGTAGGGCATGTCCTCTAAATTCTAAATATCTAGTTAAAAAAACAAACAAATCCATTTCTCATTGCCAAGCAATAAAGAAACATACGACTGATTTGTGATCTTCTGCAGACAGGCCACCACTTTGCAACGTATGTATACATGATCATAAATAATTACAGCACATTAACACCAAACCCTATACCTTTGAAAACGGATATGAAGTTTGTGTTCTGCAAATGCGAGATCACCACTAATTAGTGAAAAGTCCTCCTAAGCAATATTAAAATAAAGTAATTCCAAAGCAACTACAAAAGATTTGATCTAAGTTTGGTAAATTTAGATAACATTGACAATGATAACAATTCAGAGAGACTACAAACAAACATCAGGAATTATCTAGCCGACTGACTTCCTAGTCTGAGATAAGGAAGACAAAATCAATGCAGCATATTCTACAGATGTGACAGTACATCTATATTAATTCAAGATTCAGAAGATAAGATAGCTACTGGTTGTGAGATTCTAACATGTATGTCGCAGAGGGCATTATTAATTACGACAAAGGTCCTAATATTGTACATTAATTTCATCTAAAGCAAGACGTAATTTCAGGAGGTAGATATGTTCACTTTTGCTGTGCTTCCACACCCCCTCTCCGTACGCAAACACAAAACAAGGACTACTATAGTTTGTTTACTAGAACATAAACAGTAAGTAGCACCAAACATAAGATTCTTACAAGAAAATGAAATAAACCTTCGCTGTGCAGAACTCACTGTGCTTTTCAACACTCACAGATAAGAGCTGCTCACAATATTATGCCATGTATGACAAAGCAAACAGACATCAGAACTGAAGGAAAACATTAGGGAATTTATCTTTCAAAAATTGTAGCCAAAAAGGAACACACTTGGCTAACAAGTTGCAGTATAAGCTGTTATTACACGAGGAAGTAATGTGAATTTCTACTCTTACAGGCAAATTGAAATAGGCTGACATTTTATTACCTTAATATAGAGTTGGAAGCCAAGAAATGTTTATAACACATCTCAACTCTTTCATTTTGGCAAATGACTTTCCTCCTTAATTTCTCAGATTCAGCTGATATAAAATATGACAGTATATGCTCATTCTCTCCATTTACATGATTGTCAGTGATGGCATTAACGTCTTTAATGGCATCCCTCTGCACACCACACTTCTGAAGCTATTCAAGTATACAGAGCAGCATAAATCAAATACTTTTTGTGTCAAAGAGGACTAGATGTTGAAGGCTTATATTCAGAATAAACCAACCATTAAAGTTATAACGGAAAACGAAGTTTAGCTTTTCATTAAGGTGTCTTTACTCATAGCTGACTAATGCTAGTTAAGAAGCATATATGCTACCACTAACCTTTATAGCCCATATGGACTGCTCCAAAGGATGAAAAAGTTTGAAACAAAAGCCATCTTTTTTAGAAGGCCTCTCAATGAGTTCACAAGCGTTCAGGAGCACTGTTCCTACCCACTGGCCATTTTTGGGGGTTTTGTAAATGAGCAACACTCCTGGTTTCAGTACACACCACAGTTTGGTCCAGCTTTTCAAGGTACCACGAATCTAGAAGATAAATAGTTACAGTTACATCTCAGTGAAGCCAATACCAAAACCATCCCCCTCAAAAAGAAGAAAGTTAAAATTATTTATTAGCTTTTATTTCAAGCAAAGTTTATCAGGTCTATCAAAAGTTTATCCAGGTTTATCAAAGACAATACAAAGGCACAATTTCAATGCTCACTCTTCTATCCTTTCTTGATGAATACTTATGCTACAAATGGGTATGTACACATCCAAATATGGCAAGTATGACAATTCATCTGAAATTGTCATGAATTTTCCTATCTAGAATATATTTTATCACTAGCATAAAGACAGGATAGTCTCTGGAAACAGAGCTCCTCTGAAAACAGGGCAGACACCTGAAAAGAAAAATAGGCTATTCACAAAATAACTCTGATATACTTGAATTTCTTAGATAAAACTTCTTAAAACAGCTGTTAGCTTCAAACTATATATGAAATATAAGATCCTTTCAAGTCTCTGAATTTGCACATCTGATTAGACTGCTCATATCAATTCTGACAACTCTGGATTTTAATTACCTCTGCATCTGTAGGACTGAATGCCAACTTGACCTCTGAGCAATGTTTTAGTCTGTTTACACTGATTTTTTTCAAAAACTGGAGAAACTTTTTCCAGACAAGCTATTTTTTGGAGCTAACTATAAAAATTGGTAACAGATCTTTTTTCTTGTAAAATTTCCAAGGAATATATTTACAAATTCAAGGAGTTATATACAATATAAACTGCACTACTGTTGATGACACCGACTGCTATCTTTGAGAAATTAATTCCTCACCTTTTGTACCAGCAGGTACAAAAGGAGGACAGTTAATAACTGGAAGACAGTTAGTTCTTAAGAGACGAAAGGAAAATTACCGGAAATAAAGAAATCAGAATTCAAATATCTAATATGACTGAATCATTTTCACTATTGTTACAGACGTAAGAGCTTCAATTCAAAGTGTAATATAAAAAGGACAAAATAAGAATTGTAAAGCCAACTCATCTGAAGTTAACAGCTATACACGAGATGCATGTGACTATGGTGACTGCAGTAAGTGGGAGCTAGGTTCCTCCATTATTCCCCTAGGATTTCAGCACAGAGACCGTGGCATGCAATTAGTGGCTACTGTGCTTGTAGAAAAATATTAACAGCAAGTAAAAGATTAAGCTTTTTCTATTCTGGTCTGAAAGCAGCAAGCAGCTGCTACATCTTCAACTCAGGTTTCACACTTGGATTCTGACCTTCAACCAGTCAGCCATAACAATAACAGATGGGTCTGTGATAGTGCTAAGCAATTCTTTTGTGGCTCTCTTCTTTTCTTCTCTGTAATTCTTCTTTTGAACCTGTAAATAATAATACAAATATTCGCAATGCCACAGCCACAAGCCAGTATGCAGAGCTCAAAAAGACACTTTTCAATACAAGCTGAGAAAAAACTTGCTAAATTCAATTTGCAATACAGATACAGAGAAGTAGCTTTAAAACACAGTATTTGACTTCCAAGTGTGAACAACTATTTCATGCTCTGTTTCAAGAGCAGCTATGACATAATCAATTTCAGATTCTTCTGCAATTTGCTTTTAAGACTGATGACTTTGAAACTCCTGTTAGAATGTCAGGGGGAAAACCAACCAACCAATCCGCCTCCCCTCCCTTCCCTTCCTGCTGTAAAGTACAAAACCAAATTTGGGCTAGATTCAGATTTACAAGTATGTTATCTGATCAGTAGTCTTTACCCACCAATTGCTTTCCCTCTCCATTAGAAATTTGCAGCAGTGTATCAATTTCTTTGAGAGGCAAATAATTTTATATTTCTTCTGACATCGCATCTGCCAAACAGTGGAGTTTGGACTTGTTACAACACAGGGGGAAGAAGAAAGAAAAATCACAGGTACTGCATGCAAATTGCAACTCTGACAATTCAATTCATCATTTCATTGCATGTAGATGTCCCTAGGTTCCCGTCAACCTGAATAATCCTATAATTTTCTGAGTTATCCTATAAATCTTGTGCCATCTTAAAGACTGCATGATAGAAGCCCATACTCAAGTAACAGTACAATAAGATTTGAAGAGAATCAACACCACAACTTCTCACAATACTTAAATATTCCACAGGTCTCATCACTACTTGGCATTTCTGTCTTCTTGTTAGAGAATACATTAAAACTATGTGAATGCATTTATAGTCCATGAGGAGATACTTGGAAATTAGTTCACCTTGAGAGATTCTTTTTTTGTAAGTTTGCTTGAAGATAAAGATATGTCCTTCTCAGAGCCATTGAAAAGCTTGGATTCAGACTGAAATTCACAAAACACATAATAAATAAATGACAATGATAGACACAAGGATAGATTACTGTTGCAGGCATTTTAGAAAGTGTTTGAAATGCAGAGTTATGTTTGTAAGGCTCCCATTCCCACTCAATTCTCTACTGCTTCTCTCACTTAAAAAAAACCCCAAAACACAAGAAAAACAAAAACCCCAAAACAACAAAAAAAACACCAAAAGCCACCAAACCACAACTTGTAACATGAGCTGTTCGTCATTTATTTACGAAGTCTTTTTTCATAAGGGTTTTATGGGAAAGAAGTTTAAGATTCCTCCAGAAGAAACTGAACTACATACAGTAAATATTTAGCACACGTAGCCTGTTACTTGATATGTTGCAGTCTTGACTAGTTAGACATTATTTTAGCAGACAAGGTTTTAGAAGAAGCCTGATGTTTAAACACAGGAGTCATTCCCATGTCATACAAATCCCAACGTCTTCATTGATAACTTGACAGCTCCTCCAAATGGATTGCTATAGAAGCACTTACCCCATGACCCATGAAGGAAAATACAGCCTCTTCAATCTGAAATTCAGTGCTCTATAAATCATCAGAGTACAACTGACCACTAGTGGCACTCGTTCTGCTCCTTCCTCCCTAATCCCACACTCTGATTGCTTCACAAGTCATCTTCAAGAAGCTCACAGTGGCGATAGACAGGGGAACAAGACTCAGGTTTGTTCATGAAACCCAAGTCCACGTTCATGGCAGGACAAAACGCTGCCTCAGCACCACATGATTTCTCCCTCCTGCCTCTCCCCACATCTTGTAAGGTTCAAAGTTTACTCCTTGGCATCTGCTGCCTACTAGTTGAAAGGGAACTACAGCCACCAAATAGTCACCTTGGGATACAGAGCTCTTAAAAAAAAAAAGGAATTAAAAAAAAAAGGAGTCTATCGTAGAGTTATCACGTCACTCCTACTGCAAGTCAGAGAACACTGAGTAGGTATCCACTATACATAAACTTCAGATAAATTACAAAGAGTTGCATTTCTTTGTGCACTGAAATATAAGCCTGATGGATCCAAAGTTCCTGCCTAGTCAAAAAAAAACAACAAAAAGAAGAAAAAAGAAAAATCAATGTAACCTTCTATACTGTTTAAAGTTCAAGGACAGTATATGAAAACTGCTTTCTCAAGTTGTTCAACATTTCTGACTAGTCATTTCAAATCTCAGACTACAATGCAGAGTCTATTTACCGAATTTCTATTTTGTAATACTATAAAATGACAGTCAAAAAATACACAAGTTTTCAGAAAACTTACTGCAATAATAAGAACAGTGCACTTGAGCACTCTTTTTCTTAACACACAAGTTACTGAAACCAAAGATAAAAATTAAAGATTTACAAGTGGAATAAAGCAATTCAACTTTGATGCTTTTAATTCAGAACTAAGACTTTAAAGGAGTCTACGTATGGTTAGTGTCAAAAAGACGTGAAATAACTGGCAAACAGTAGTTTTATCTCAAAATCATTTCAACAATAAGTAAATGTTCTCTAACTTCCACATACATCTTGGAAAAATGAAGGAAATCTCTTCATTTTCTATTACAGATATGTTCTTAACACTCAAAACTTAGCTTTAAGACAAGCATACAACCTGAAATTTGATTCTTCTGTCTAGAAGTTAAAGGAAATACAGTATTTTAAGTGTAATGACAGAAGAGGGAAAAATGCTTATCACTGTCACATAAGAAGAGGTAATGAACTCGTTATGCAAGCTATAATGGAGCAACTTAGTGAACAACTAGAATATTTATGAATGTTTTACTTAACAGAAAGCTAATGCAATCTAAAGGTCATGCATATAAAAGCCCCAAACTAGTACGTATCATAGGTTACAAAAACTCATCTTCTCAGTTTTAAAGCTTACTAATATGACACTGAGTAAAGGTCCGTATTTACCTGTCCAACAGATTATGAGACAGATCAGTGATTTGTAGCTAGTAACTTTCTCAGTGTTACATACAAACAAAGTGGGTGGGATTAAAATTTAAAAGAAGAAAACATTTTAAGAGAACCCACTGCAACTCCAAGCGAGGTACATTCAGTACAAGATTTTGGGCAAGTCTCATCACTGCTTTTCTACCCTTACTTAGAAAGAAGGGCTGCTACTTCACATCCACAGCTGTGACAGTTACCGTCTTCTGTCAGCCTTAAGTTTATTTGTGGGTTACAAAGGAACCACTAGTCTTATCAAGCCCCACACGCAGTAATTGCAAAAATATGGATGAAGAAAAATATGTATTAGGAATATTGGTCTCATTTTTGATAGCAGTAATGACAAAGCACATGAAGACTTAAGATCTGGGAAAAAACAGAATCAAGAAAAATAAATACAAGGAAGAGAAAAAACAAATTGGATAGTCAAAGATTAATGATTAACAGAGTCTGAAATAAATCCAAGTTAAGAAACAGTATGAAGTTGATTTCCAAGTCAAAAATGATTTAGATGTTTCTGGACCAACATACATATTTTGATCAGAAGCAAGCTGGATGGTAAAGTATGCTTCCTTGATCTCCCGTCAAGTGAGGCTCTAGAATGCAGTAAAGCTGAAAGATGTGAAGTTTTGCGATTTCGAGTGAGATGCAAGACACCAACAGCTTGAAATGCTTAGCTACACACTTCAGAACTGCAGCATCAGCTGCAGGAACTAACCCGCTCACCGCTGTGCAATTCTGACGATGCCATTTAAGCAGCGAAATCACTTTGATTTCCTTCGATATCTCTTTAAAGTTTCTCTTTAAGACTCTGACACACGAAATATCAGAGAAAAATCTGTGTCAAGACCCCGAGCGCACTCCCTCTGTCTCCCAGGGGTGCAGCTGCCTGCAGCCAGGGCCAGCTCTACCCCTGCAGCAGACCCCGATGGAAGGAGCTTGTGTGAAAGCGGCGAGAGGCAGGCATCTCCCCAGGCATCTTCCCTGTGTCCCTCGGGAGCCAGAGGTGTTCAGGTCCTCGCCTGCCCCTACAGAGCAGCCCACGCCTGCTGTGCCCTGACAATCTGTTTAAATGGTCTGTGACCACATCTGCCTGTGTAAAAAACAGTGGACATCATAGCAGAAAACAGAAAACCACACAGTTGCGTGGTTTAAAGCCTTGAAACTCTTACCCTGTAGCAATGCCTGAATAAGAAAAACAAGTGAACTTAGCTACTCCATTCAGTGATCAAACCATACACAACCTCCACAAAATGCAGTCTTTCCCTCTTCTCTTTAATTTTTAATGTCTTGAAGAGACAGAGACACCTGTTTTATGAGACACCCAATTGAAAACACTTTTTTTTGGAATTCCACATTCTAAATACATAAAAATCACTACATAAAAATTCAAACTGCCAGGCAGTTTTGTTGACTAAAATGTTCACGCACTTTAAGAGTTACAATAGGCCAATAAATAGAGAAGGTTGCATCAGAGCAGCCCACACAATGCCCTAAAACTGACAGCTTCTAGAACTGTATCCTACAAATGTAAAAGGATTTGGGAAAGGAAAGATACCTATGGTAGATTTTTCTCTATGCTACTACCATGACTTCTACACAAATCTCTCATCACGTGTGTGCCTACTATTTCCATACCATCAGAAAAGAATATTTTATTCTGAATAAGAATGCTATGGCAATCTACTCTTTAAATAATTGTGATCAGAACAAAACACAGCTCTAGAGAGAAAAGACCTGGGATCACTGCAAAAAAAAAGTCTTTTTGGTTGCTTGGGTGCATGTTTTCTTCCTTTTTGAAGCTTAGCCACCCCAAGATGCTATGGTTTTGGTTGGCTGCAGTGTCCATCTCCCAACTTCACTTTGGACATTCTCAGTTCTCACTGCATCTCAGTAAGCCTTTTCCATCTGGGATTAGACTATGATAATTATGAATATGCTTGGCTCCTGCCTTTTCCATTTCTGTTATCAAGATTACCAGAATGTATAAACATGCATAGCAATTATATCTAGTTTAATATTCTGCTGAGCATGCTTTACTTTGCACTCTCATTACCATCTCAATGAAATGGGTCTTTCTACTTGAATGCTGAGGTACAGAAGCTCTTGCAACAGACAGGACAACAGATTACACTGAAGTATGTTTTACTCTGGCAATTTAAGCCATTAAACTATTTTCCAATTATCGTTTCCTTAACATTCTTAGAAGATTTGCTACAGCTCAGTGAACAGCATCTTCCCCTATAGCTTAAAACAATTTTCAATTCTGTTTCACAGGAAGAGTTGGCCTCCATCCATCCTTACATTTGGCAAGGCAACATATCACCCCAAGATGACAGTGAGAAGACTCCATGTTTCATTTTCACTAATTTGAACTGTAGATTTTCATGTGATGTCATCCTGAAAACTATATTAAGAAATTCCCTTTAATCTTTACCTATTGATGAATCTGAAGAGAAAATTTCAAGGTTATCTACAATTTATGTGAAATACATTTGCATTTAATTAAAAATGCAGAACTCCTTTGCACACTGACATTTTTAGGCCAGATTAGGAGGCTGCTTTCCTTACCTTGCTTTTTGACATAGAATGTGCTGTATCCTCTTTACTTTGTGACACATCATCCTTCCCTTTGTCAAAACCTTAAAGAAAAGACAGCAATGATTTGAAGACATTAACATTTTATATGAGCTAGCCTTTGAAATAAATTAGCAAATTGTGTTTAGCATAAAAAAGTGCAAGCAAATCTGATTTTCAAACAATGTATACATAACAGTCCATCACATCAGTTGAAAACATACCAGCTACTATTATATAAACTAATATCCACTAAGAGGTGAGAACAGTCCACTGTATTTGCATGGTGCTGCATCGATCCAATAACCCGACAAACTGTAAATACCATGTGCAAATTTTAGTCCTTTTATCTTCTTACTCTCCCCTATCTGCATACATGCATGCACAGAGCAGAATACTTAATAAAGTCTTTTTTAGTTTGTTCATTTCTGTAGCTAGACATAATTGTTAAACACCACCAACATGAAAGCAAATCTAAAACACCTATTAGGATTGCCAGTCATTTTTTTCCAAGAAAGTTGAAAAGGTTGCTTATGTTAGCCTGGAATTTATACTTTCAACTTGACACTGCATAAGCGTAATTACAAGGCTTTATATCAAAATAGTCATCGCAATCCCACGTTTATCCTCTGTGAGTGACTCACTGTCAAATCCCATAGAAGGGTTTTGGTTGGAAAGGACCTTAAAGATCACCTACTTCCAAACCCCCTGCCACAGGCAGGGACACCTTCCACCAGATCAGACTGCTCAAAGTCTCATCCAATCTGGCCTTGAACATCTCCAGGGATGGGAGATCTACAACTTCTCTGGCAACCTGTTCCAGTGGCTCACCACCCTCTGAGTGAAAAAATTTCTTCCTTATATCTAATCTAAATCTACCCTCTTTCAATTTAAAGTCATTACTCCTTGTCCTATCATGCCCTTGTAAAAAAGTCCCTCTGCAGCTTTCTTGTAGGCCCCCTTAGGTACTGGAAGGCTCCTAGAAGGTCTCCCTGGAGCTTTCTCTTCTCCAGGCTGAATAGCCCCAACTCTCTCAGCCTGTCTCCATAAGAGAGGTGCTCCAGGTCTCTGATCATCTTCATGGCCTCTTCTGGACCCTCTCCAACAGGTCTAGGTCCTTCTTATGTTGGGGTTCCCAGAGCTGAATGCAATACTGCAAGTGGGGTCTCACAAGAGCAGAGTAGAGGGGCAGAATCACCTCCCTCGACCTGCCGGCCACGCTTCTTTGGATGCAGCCCAGGATACGGTTGGCTTTCTGGGCTGCCAGCGCATGTTGCCGGCTCATGTTGAGCTTCTCATCCACCAAGACCCCCAAGGCCTTCTTCTCAGGGCTGCTTTCAATCCATCTCCGTCCAGCCTGTACTTGTGCTTGGGATTGCCCCAAACCATGTGCAGGACCTTGCACTTGGTCTTTATCTGAATAAGTAAAAATGTTATAATTTGCATACCTCCAGGTGGAAGGCAGATAAATATGAAGTCATACATGAATTTCAGGAATAATTCATGCAGTCAAAAAGCCTTGCATGGCTCTGGCAGCAGTACCCTAGAGCTTCACCCACCAGAGGGCACTACACCAGCAGATAAATTGCATAAATGGACACCAAAAGCACTTCTGAGCTTCCCTTTGAACATTTTCTGAACTCTGAAACAGCAATTGATACTCAGATCTTTAAAATGAGAAGATTTATCAGAAAAACAGTCTGATTTCACATTCTTCATTGGAGTGTGTGTATGTCTGGGGAGACTTTATGAGCTTCAAAAGAATTTTTATTAACTCTCTGTAGAAGTGTTGAGTAGTTTGTTCAGTGTAGGATTTAAAAAAAAAAAAACACAAACTTGTATCTTCACCCTTCCACAACTTACGATACCCAGAAACTATAAGACAGGATTGATTAACTGATCACAAATACACATCTTGAGAAGTTTCACTAAGTTATAGAAGCATTAGGTTGGTCTTCAGATTACATGAGAAATCAAAAATTCCTTTTAGTTTTCATCTGGTTCAGTCTTTTGAGGTTTTTTTTTTGTTTATATTTATTACCTTTTGCAGAGATTGTTTTTTAAACAATCAGATTTTTTTTAAATTACATTCTGCAATACACTGATACTTCATTTTATGTTTACACAAAGAACACCTTACATGGCTTCGCAGAAAGAAACCTTCACATGTCTTCATAGAAGCCACTCTGTGCACAGTTCATTAAATCCATTGTTTTTAAATTCCTCCAACAGATCCATGACAGGTTTGTTCAGCTAATGAAAACCTATAATGCAGAAGACTACCTGACCACAGGAAAGAAGTATCTAGACAGGCAGGAGATTTCTAGTACTTGGGAATCTGGAAACAAACCAAAAGGCATGTCAAGATCCAGAGGCCAGAAGCCACATTTCCTATATAACAACAAATAAAAAAAGCACATTTTCTACAGCACTACTCATCAGGTGCTGAAAGAAAACAAAGGTTGCTTCAAGCCTTAGAGGACACACCTGCCTTAGTTCACTGAGAAGTTAGTAGATTTGATGCCAGTCTTAGGCAGTCAAACACACACCTGAACCATAGTAATGAGGTTTTTCTCCTCATCCCCACACCCAAAAGAAATTCCCACTTAGGAATCAAGTTACATTGAAAACGCAATGCAGGCATTTTCTTACAGCTTTCTAGTTTTTAGTTGTTTATTTATATACACATACAAAAGACTTAGTGATGGGAACGAACAAGAAAGTGCAAAGTCAGGATTGTTCTTGCACAGGAGAAGCTGTAATTCACAGCTTGCTTTCTAAAGCACAGCAGCTTTAAACGGCTTTACGCGTCCTTATCTAACATATGTATGTTTTTATTTTCATAATCACTTTTCATTGGTATCGCCAATGAAACCAGAAGCAAGAACTGCATCCCAGAGAATCAGATCCAAAGACCAAAGTTCAGTTGCATTTCCCTGAATCTCACCTCCTTGCTTCCAGGATCTCAAGCCCAAGAAGTGTGCTTGCATACTTATAAACATGCCACCACACTTGCTGTTCCCTTCCTTACTCACAAGCATAGTAAAGTGCTGTCTGAGGGGTTTGCTAGTGAGCCCAAGTCAGGATGCTGCAGATCCTGGAACATCTTGCCCTGCTCTGTCTCAGCCTACAAGGAAACCCAAGCAGTCAGCTTCACATCCCACACCATCCTACTTGTAACCTCTCCCTCTGTAGAAGGGATAAGCTCACTCAGAATACAGACAGAAGGCTTTTCTCCCTACGTGATAAAATGTATGTTAAAAAAATGAATAGTAATTGAGGTGTTGGATCCAGGCACAGCCTCACCCAGTGTACGGACATGTTTTCCGGGGAGCCTCTATTAAGATGGAAGGATCTCAATACCATAAGCAGTCTTACCATTTCTGACAAGAACAGTTTGATACTAATACCTGCAGGGAAGTTTGTATTGAAAAATCACAAAAAGCTCCGGCCAATATAGACTGCCATGGAAATACTTGGTCAAGGAAACAGCATCAGAACAATTATATTCATAGAATCAGTAAGAAATACTGTCTTTTCCCTTCCAGCTACCAGTTACGACCAATTTTCTCTATGGATTTCTGACAAAGACAATAGCAAAGCCAAGAGAACTGTGCCTCTAAACGAGGCTTTGTGCTGTTGCTCTTTGTAGTTTTGATTGTCCCAGAGGTACTGAAAATTGCACCACAAAGTCACTGAAGTAACTGTCTGGAGCAGAGACTGGCAGAGTATGAGAGGCTAGAGGCAGCGTCTAATGAAAAGAATGTGTTTTGGATTTTTCAATGTCTATCAGCAGTGGTTTGGGGCTTAATATTTTAGCTTGTTTACTGTTTACCATCCTGCAATTCAACCAGTAATTTTTAAATAAGATAACCTGAGCTCACATTTCACAACGCAGAAATTCAGGTGTTGAGGACGCTGTCTCTTTCCATAATTTCCTCTGTATTACATCTCTTGGGTTCATATATTGTTTTCTACCTAACTCATGAGAGCAATTTTCAGAGTTAGGTGACAGCAAACAAGTGCAGTTTTAGTCAACCTTCAGACCTGCAGATTGAGGTCCTAGCATTATTCAAGACACTTGCAGATATTTTTTACTTTTTTATTTTAAACACAAGTTCCACTACTGTAGCCTCTAAAACAGTTCTGGACATCAGGGATTGTGTTCAAAGCAACACTATGTCTTAACGGACTGTCTCCCAGCATGACCTTCCTTGTCTTAACATCACAGGCCCCATGGGCTGTGAAAACTGATCCAAATCCCAGTGCAGTCAGATACACTTCATGGTATGACCTTAGAGGCCAAGGGAGACTGTCCATTAGTACGTTCCTACTGTGAGCACTCACTAAGTCCTTCCAAAACTTGCAGATAGAAATCTACGTGAAAACTCATGATGAGCTTTCAGACAGAGACGAGAGCCTGACAAGTGCATGCAACTGGAACAATGGAACAACCAGATCTCTGTACATACAAGATGCCAATGAAACAAAACCAAGTGACACTTCTTCAGAGAGTGAGCTGCAACACGCTGTCAATACCAAAAGAAAAAAAATCCTCCAAAACATCATTTTCGACAAAAAATTAGGAGTATATACATTGTAATATCAGTGTTAAAGAATCTTTAGGATAAAGCCTGTCGTAGGGTTCACTTAAAAACAAAACGGTTTGGTTAAGGGATTTCAATTTTGAAGCACAACACAAGTATCATTCTTTAAAGTCGCACCCTCAATCTGTTCCTTCAACCAATCTTGAAAGAAGGGAAACACCAAAATCAACCATGTAACATCTCCTACATCTCAAATACTGATTTTGTACCTTTCAGCAAATAACATTGACAATTACGATACTTAAGAAAAATACATCAGAAAAAACATGTCACTTTTTAATGCCAGATTTATTTAATCCAAAAAGAACGAAAGAATTACCATCCACTGGAGGCTTTTTCCCAACAAACAGAAGAATCAATAAAAATGCAATGCAATGAATGAAAAGATCACAAATAGCAAGCCAAGCAACAATATTACTGAATTTCAAATGAAAAGCAAGAAACAGACTGATTTGATTACTAGTGTGCATGAGCAGTCGTGAAGAACAAGTAATTGAGCTGAAAAACTATATGCTTCTGCAAGAGCTATGGGCTATACTTAGTGGGAGATACCAATATTGGTGTTACATAATAAACATAGGGGGAAAAAAAGGAAAGAAATCTTTTTAAAGAATTGAACACAGAAGACAGCAGTCTTTTCAATGGACCGATTTTCAAAAGTCTGCTCACAACCAGTTTTAAGAATACAATCCTGTATTAAGTAATTCAGATTCCTCCATGGATTTTGAAACTGAACTAATCAGAAAAGCAAGCCAAGACCTTTTAGCTATTTTCTCATGGTCATGTTTTCTTTTGCGAACACCATATAAAATAAACAATAACCACCAAAGAATATCCTCACTGTAACTATACATTAGTATCTTTTAGATAAGCAATAACTACTCCTTGCTTAAACCAATCTGGAAGAGTATACCTTCCAGCATATTAATATTTTATGTTTAAATTCTTCAGATACATGGAAGATTCCAAAAGATAAAACATCTTTTAGTTCTATGTTTACGCTTGATTTTTTTTAATTAAAAATTGTTTTTCATTTGTTCGGCATTTTAAGAAATCTATTCACTGTCCACTTACAGACAGCTATCAGCTTTAATGTAGAATCCTACACAGGAAGGAAGCAAACTAGAAATCAATCTCTCTGTGTTTCAGTAATTACCAGATTATATGCATTTATTTTAAAGGTAGGGAGGATCTGTCTGGTTGCCAACTCCACGCTTTCAAGCTTTGAGATCTTTATTTCCTGAGCAGCTTGAATAAAACTCAGTGTTATATTCTCAGTAGAGGCTAATTGTTTCCTGAAGCAGAGTGAAAGGAAATGTTATAGGGTAAAACATGAGGTTTAATAGAACATGGTGTCCCAACCAACTGCCCCCAGCTGCACATGCTGCTCCAGTGATTCTGCAGGTCAGCATCATCCAGTGATGCAGAGAGCTCCCTAACCACCAGCCCACAACCTCCCCTATGCTCTGCGCCCCAACTCTTTTCCACAACTTCAGAGCCAGGGCTTACGAATTCAGTGAGCCATTCTGCAGAAAGCATACGATAAAAAGTGAAAATTATTTTATTCCCCCGCAGTGCCCCTGCCCCAGCACTCCAGCCCCATGGGCCGTATGTGCGCATGCACAAGACAAATCACGCATACAGCGTAATTCTGGTAGGAATGTACCATTTCTACAATGTCCCCTTTCAGGAAGAGGTGACCTTGTAATACGTTTTCAAGCATCGAAGCTTCCTGAAGTAAACTGCTGAAATTCAGCTACCTGTATCAGAAGTACAAATTATTGACAATGAAACTCTAGAAATTCATTTCAATATTCCAGTATGGTTTTTAGAAGAGAACAAATCTGAGCAAAAGAAGATTGAGCCCCTTCTTGTGCTAAATGTCTTAAAGATCTTGCACTAGAGCTTAGCAAGGCTATGCTCCTAGCCCTAACTCATTCTATCTCATATTTTCATGTCAAACCACTGACAACAAGCACATAGATTCTTGCAGCTGAATTAAAACCTTCTGCTGTACCTGACTATTTTAAAGCAAGTCCATTGTGTGCAGGGGGTGCAGAAAGTACAGGAGAGGAAGGCATTTACAAACCTTATCACAGAACTTCAGTCCTAAAAGCCCAAACAACCGAAACAAACATTCCAGTCAGTATCAAATACATGAACTAATTTTAAAGAGAGATTTGCTGCAGAGTAAGCTAACTTACTCGCTTGCCGATCTACTAATCTTGCCACTACAAAGCGCTGTTATCTAAACACATACAAGTAATATTCTTTTGGATTTCTACCAACATCTCAGTACGTTACTTTCATTCAAGTAGAAATATTTGAAGTGGAAGTGATATTCTCTTCTGTATGTTTTAAGAAATGCAAGACCAAAACAAACCTGGTAAAGCAGGAGAGAGTTCGTTATATCCTCCAAATGAAGCATTCCGGACAAGCTTTCGGCCATCAGTTCTCGAAGAAAACACAGATGAAATCCCAGCACACGAAGAAAACCTACGTCGCACTGGACCCTCTTCCTTCATGAGTTAAGGTGTTTGTGTAAGGATTATGTTCTCTGCGAAAGCTGGTTAGCATTAGCTGGTTGGAACAAGAGTGTTGCAGTAACAGCCTTTTACCTCACATTCTGATGAGTAAGATACAAAAGGAAAAAAAAGAAACAAACGAAGGGCACACGTGAAAAACGCAGTGAAGAGACAGAGGCTGCCAAATCAGCAGCGAGCCAAGCAACACTATACTCCTCTCGTCAAACCCATTAGGACACTTAAAGCAGAATGGCTTTGCTTCAGCTTCTCTTTTCCACAAATACACCGCATCTCATTTTTTACATCTCAGTTTTGGTCCTACTCATCTCTGCTCTCTAAGTACACAAAACCAGCGATGATTGAGTTTTTAAGAATTTGTTAAATCAATTCTTTTTGCTGTTGGTCTTCCAAGTTCCAAATTTATACTGCACAAGGCACAACTCACGAGCTACGTGGCTTCCCTGTTCAATATTGTGGAACACTACAAGAATCTGAAAAGGGAGCTGATGTTTTTCGTTATGCAGCAACGTTGAACTTTCCTGTTCAGGCTCTTACCTAGCCAGTTTTCATCAACTGGCTGCCATGGCTTCTACGTCGTAATTTCTTATTTTTATTTAAAAGGTGAGGTGACAGCTTTTGCTTCTCTAAGACTCTGCCGTATTTATATATACAAACGAGTCTGACTCCTAGAAGAGTTGCACAAATAAGCTCCATAAAAAGCGGTTTTTATTATTAATGCCTCAAATATTTTACGCAATGAATACAACACTTAAATGAACCAACTTAAATTTTAGACAGAAAAAAGCCCAGCAAATTGTGCTGCAAGTCCAGAAATCAGCTGATCCAACCTGCTCTTGCTGCTAGCTACCAGAACAAAGTTAAATAAGCTCTCCCTAACCTCGTCCGATCACTGCTCATTAGATCGGCTGCTTCCTTGCCTTGACGACTGGCGTGCATGGCCATCCTCTTCCATATGTGGAATTTCCCTCCCATCTGGTGCTTCTCTGCTGATCCCATTTTCCCCATCACACCTTATTTCTGACAAAATGTTTTGAAACCTACTGTGTTTGCTGGAAAGCAGAAAAATAAGACACTAAGAATTGGCTTGAAAATAAGAACTTGTGTTCTCCCTTACTCCATACTCTTCTTCTTACAAAGTGAAATGCATGCCACAAATTAAACCAAGGATACTGTGAATTTAATTAATCCTCAAATAATACTGTTCACTCCAGCTGCTTATGCAAAGAAGCGTACTTACTATTTGCAGCTCTGTAATTTCAGTTCACACTGGCTCAAGGATAATACAGTAGACTGAAGTATTTTATAACCCCTATGAAAGGTTTTAACTGTGCAGAGTGTAGGTATATTAGTACCTACACATACAGCAAGGCATATACAGAAAACACTGAAAATAATTTTTCTGATTATGAAACATTATAGCTTCCAGCATCCTATGAATCACTAGAATTTCTTCATGCCTCTTAAGAGACTAATGTCCCAACATATGCCAAGGAAAAAAGATATAATTGAAAAAAAACAAATATGAGCCATTAATAGAAACCATTATATGTGATACATAGCTTTCACTTCTTTTGTACAAGAAGTGAAAAACTCTATTCACTTGAGCACAGGGAGAGGGAGAAACAGGATGAGCCTGTCATGTATTCAAGCCTGTCTCCATTTATCCATTACTGTGTCTCATACTTGTCTCAGTTGAAGCAGTCCTTGTTCAGATGTCCCGAAAGGAACAGAAAGAGCAGTTGAAAAGCTTAAAGGAGTGGAATGCTGGGACAAGGAGGAGGAAATGCAAGAAGGGAGAACACCCCTTTTTTCTTCCTTTTTTTTTTTTTTTTAATAAAGACAACTCTACATAAAACTTCTCCAAATCTATCTTCTTAACCACAAAACAGAGCAGACTACCTTGGTACAAATCTCTTCAGAACATGCATTTTATTTTTTCTAATTAAAATCAAGAGAAAGCTGCAGTAGAAAAACTCTCTTTACACACAGAAGGAACTGTATCCTCTCATTAGAGACCTATCTTGCCCAGTTAATGGGTCCGCTATCTCATGTTTCAGAGTCAGGGCTCTGACCCTGCCCAGAAACACTCTGCTGACACCAGTATCAGGACATTTCCGTGTCCTGTACGGTAACAGCAGGGTCGCACAGACTAACAGGAGGCTCCATCACCGGCCACCTCCACTGCTTTGTCTGCATGTGCCTCCAGCTGTTGCACCAGCCAGTTGTGGAGCCACTACTGAGCGCGACTCTGTCAGCCTACCAGGTTCTTCCACAACAGGCTTCTCTGCCACGTTATGTTCATTTTACTAAAAAACAGCTAGACATCCAGGGGTTTGAGGAAACAACGTAATCCTGAAGGTTTTTCCTTTATTTTTCTCCAAGCCCTCTCAGGTCCCTTGACACTCTTCACGTAGCCAAAAATGTAAATGAGAACAGATTAAAAACCTTTCTCCTTGATATGCCCTTTTCTCCATTTAGAAGTGAAACTGAAATCTTTGGGTAGATAAAATTAAGAATTTCAATATAGATAATGTTACGTTTCCCATCTCTGAAGCAATCTGCCAACGAAGGAAGCTGTTAGCTGGGTATTCTGACTAAGTATCCTCTGCTTTAACTCAACAGCTACCCAAGAGGGGCAGACTCTGTGCCTTTTGCCAAAACACGACTCTGTCTCACCACCACAAAGGCAGGGGAAATGAACAAAATCTAATTTAAGCTTCCTCCTTCATCTCCCTACCCCTTACCAAGTCATCTTCATATTTTACTTAAGCCTGCAGTGGTACAACAGTTAATTACACGGTTTGGCTGTAAAAATTCACTAGTTCTCCACCTTTTCAACAGCTTGAGATTTATTATGCCTACTAATACTTGTATACACAAGCTCATTTGCTTCAACTACTTCAAAGCAGCATACGTTGCTGGAGAGACAGCTGACACACAACCAAAAGGCTGTTAGATTAAAAGGAATCTGTAACATTTAATAAAAATGAGCATTCTCTCCATAAGGTGATTTTAGTTTATTGTAACTCTTGAGTATCAGCCTGTGATACTAAAGGGATTTCTGCTCTCCACACATTCACCACCCAAAGCTCTTAGAAACCCTTTTCATTCCTTGCAATAAATTTGATTCCTGAAAGGACACAGACTTGGAAGAGCTTTTATTTGCATGTTCTGTAGATGAGAATGGAATGGTGCATTAGCCACCACATATTAGACATGCCCCCCCCCCCCTGAGGAAAAAAAAAAAAAAAAAAAATCATTTCCTCTTCTCCCCTCCCTGAAAATAAATTCAGACAGAATAGGTCAATCTGCTGATAAAACTGGAATTAGTATCATTCATTAATGACCTTAGACTAGCGTCTCAGGAAGCCTTCTATCCTTTTGATATCAGTTCCCAGTGCCTTAATAATTAATATACTTAGAAATGCAATAACATACACAGCTTGGAAGTTTACAGGGTTTCAAAATACTCACAGATAGAACTACAGCCAAGTCCAACTGCAGAAGTCAGACAAAGCTGACAAGGCTGCAAAACCAGGAGAGTACCTGAACTCTAGCCTAAATGCATCAGGTATGTGCCACAGTGTATCCAAATGTGAAAAAATAATCCTCACACCAAAAGCTAAGTACTTCATGAAAGCAGGCACTAGACTAAATATACCACTGAAAGTGAGAAAAAGGCTCCTGGTTTCTAGTTTATACAATACCTAAATCAATCAGAAGAATAACAAAAAAATGACTGAAATATTTAGTTCATATATCTTGGGGTGAAGCTGGAAATCCATTCTCAGTCAATTTGTTGAGCATCTCTTTAGAGGAGGAAAACTTATCTGTCATACATATTTTCTAAAGGACAGAATGCATTTCTCATCTCGGCTACTCAACCAGGGCTTCTTCAGTAGTAAATGCTGGCTGAAAAAACAAACCATAATCCCATGCTTAAGACATTCTTCCAAGATATTGCCTGGGACAAAACTTAAATCTCAGTATATAAAACAAAGGCAAATAGAAGAGACAAGCAATTCCAACAGTGCATGGACACTTTTCACAAAGCCTGGTTTTACTTTTAAAACATTTCTCTAACTGAAAAGTATTTACAGCTGAATAAACCACAGGCTTATCAAAAAAGACATCTCTGAATTGTAGGTATGAATTCCAGGCATGGAAATTGAACTAAAATCAAATATATTCTGAACTATGTGACTGAGAAATTTTAAATATAATAATCCTTTTTGTATAGATTTTAGAAGTTTAAAATAATGAACACATTATGAAACTGATGCTGATGCAGTAATACAACTGAGTTTATCTAGTGATGCAAAGTAAAAAAATACTCCTTTTCCCCTTACGGGTATATAAGGAAAACCCAAAACTCTTAAAACTTCTTAAAACCAAACTCTGAAAAAGCTAAAGGGAGAAGAAAAAGAAGGAAAACTGATGGTGTAGCTAAGGAGACAGAAACATTCTAGACTCACCCTTCAAGTCTGACAATAATTTACCCTGACATCTTGACAACATTACGCTTCCCAGTAGAATTCTTCTCCCCATCCAACAAAAGAAAAGGTCATAAATAATTCTCTACATGCAGTAGTATACACACACTCTTTGCAGTATGCAGAAAACAGAAAAGGGAAACTACTAGACTATCATACCTATAAATGAGTTTTATCCAACACCTGTTTTTTGCAAATGGACTTTAAGTGAAAGTGTTATCTAACAAAAGCTCCTATTTAATAAAACGGGTATTAAAGATATACTTGCCTGCAGACACCAATATTTGATCCAGAAAAGAGACAACTGAAGCACAACACTACAAGTTGTGTCGGTAGTTTATAGTGGCAAGCTTTTTTCCCCCAAATATACTTCTGTTCTCTGGTATTTCCAAGTTGAGGGCAGTTTATCTGAGGAGTAATTCCAGAGGCGCGCCTGAGCACGGTTATGAATGAACACCAAGGCTCCCTGGGCCCTGTTGGCAACTG